GTTTTTTTTAATTAATCTGATATGCTGAAGAAAGATGAACTCCTGCCGATTCATTAAGTAAACCATTAGGCTGTGAGTATGACGTATAGATTTTTACTTCCTATTGTGTATTTGAGGATCAGATAAGTATGTGAGGATCTGATGGTTAAAAATCAGCTTGTCATGCTGCTAAATCAAACGTTTTTTTCATCATAGTTTTCTATATAGCTGTGCTAGAATGTTGTGAAGATCTTGGGAGTGCTACTTGGAAGACTATTATACATTCTTAACAAATTAGAATAGACAATATCTTCTACCATTTCTTATTTATCCCAGAGACTCAGAAACTATACTATTGGCATCACTTTAGACAAAAAGATCAAGTGTAGTGACAAAGTTCAGAGTTTAAGTTACCGAAAAGATTCTATTGTAAGACTTTTGGGCAAAAAGGTCTGTAATATCCACTGAGTTTCCTGTTGTTTGTTACTTGATGTTTTTTTGTTTAGAAAAGGTTTTTATGTTTAATAGATTTAGTGGTGAATTGTAATTGGTACATTGGGGGGAATAACTGATATAGATAAGTTCAGGGTTTTTAAAAAGTAGCTAATTCATTTACTTTTTCCTAGTGTAGCATAATTTCAGATTCTTATCCCATCAAAGTTGGAAGCAAGAGGACTATTTTGTCACATTTTCTTCTTGGACTCACTTTACAGGTCACTGAAAACCAGAAGTAAGCTACATATATTCATCGACATTATATTGGAAAATGTTTAATGATTGAGATTCTCAAATGAAAGTGATCTCAGTCTAAATTGATGAAACATTTAAAAATAATTGTTACTTAATGCAATTATGTACATTTTTAAGAACATACAGTAAGTGTATACAGGTTAACAGAAAATGCCGCTTACTAGAAAGGTTGATTTAGAATCCCAGTACTGTACCATGAAATTTTAGAGTTCAAAAGAATTTTCAAATAGTAGTGTTTGTTAGGAATCTTCTTGCACAAATGCGGTTCTTATATAAAAGCAGAGTGTTGGCCCCAAAGCCCTATCACGGAAGTACCTCACTACCGTCACCCCCACATCCCATTGTCCTTTAAGGATTCTAAATCAACCTTTCTAGTAAGTCGCATTTTCTGTTAACCTGTATGCACTTACTGCATGTTCTTAAAAATTTACAGAATTGCATTAAGTAACAATTATTTTTAAATGTTTCATCAATTTAGATTGAGATCACTTTCATTTGAGAATCTCAATCATTAAACATTTTCCAATATAATGTTGATGAATATTTTTAGGACCTCAATCAAAAAATATTACTAGGTATACAACTTACTGCTCTAAACCATTACACTCATTTTACAGATAAACAGGTTCAGTGAGGTTATGTGACTTGACCCAGGATCACCCATCAAGAGAGTAAAACCAGCCGAAACCGGTTTGGCTCAGTGGATAGAGCATTGGCCTGTGGACTGAAAGGTCCCAGGTTCAGTTCCGGTCAAGGGCATGTACCTTGGTTGCGGGCACATCCCCAGTGGGAGATGTGCAGGAGGCAGCTGATCGATGTTTCTAACTATCTCTCTCCCTTCCTCTCTGTAAAAAATCAATAAAATATATATTTTTTTTTTTAAAAAAAAGAGAGTAAAACCAGATTTAGCCCAATTCTTTTAATTCTTCGTTGAATATCCTTTCCACCTTACCATTGATAAAATAAGAATAAATTGTTCTGAAATACTTAAATCCTGAAATCTTTATATTAAATTGTATAACCTACTTAACATGACTTGCCCATGCTAGTGATAGAATTATCCCAATTAATATTCTGCTTATGAAAAATATCTAGTTGCGTTTTGGAAAATTAAATGGCTTACTAATTCTTAGAACTTTTATCACCTGCATCTCAGTTAATTTGGTTGCACCCAACTGTCCCCGGCAATAAAATTCTGCCTTATCTTGGGCCAATAGGCTTAATTTCAGAAAAGAGAAAGTTTAAGACTATACAATCTGACTACCTGGGGCCTTCTGAAGAAAGAAGAAACCCAGGAAGCAGGTCCTAAGTGAGAACTATCCCCAGAAGTTTAATGGAGGGCTTACAATAGGAGTGAAGCAAAGAGGGTATTACAGAAGGGCACTGTAGAGTTAAGGTACAGAGACTTGCCAGACTTTATTAGTAATGTGCTGTGTGACTTTAAGCAAATGATATCTAAGGTCCCCTCCAGCTTTCACATTTTATTCTGTTAACCCTGTGTGCATTTTCACCAATATTTTCATAGTACTTGTATGAAGATACAAATTCAGTTTGTGAACTAACCTTTTTCTTTCTTTCTTTTTTTTTTTTTTTTTTTGCTCAGTTCAGTTGATTTCTATTGGCTAGCAATTTTTAAAATTCTTCTAAATTAAAACTTCTACAAGATTGAATGAGGCCTGAGGCTTACTGACTTGATCTAATATTTTTTTCTCAAAAAGGTTGTCTTAAGTTCTTAAATACTGGCTATATATAGAGAGAAAAGGCAATTCCTGTCTAATTATAATATTTGAGTGTTGATGTAGTACAAAGTAAAAATAGTATTTGTTAAATAACTTGAGAGTGTTCTAACCAAACTTTCAGTTTATATAATTTTGGATTGTGAGTTGCAACAGCTAGCATCTTGGTGTTTGAGTGCAAAGATGGTTGTCCAGCCTCAAAACATTGGTTCTTCGCTTCCTCATTCTAAGACATTTGAGCTCATTCATTGAGCTGTATAAAGTTCTTTTCATTTGAGGGTTGATGAGTTCGTTTCTCTTATTAGTGGGTCCTGGTACTCTCAAAAGGCCTTCACTTTTTGTTAGGTTTCTAGAAAAGTTATGAAATTTTCTGAAGATTTGTTCACATCAAAAGGGAATAAAAGGGGACGTGCTGTAGTCTCTAGTACATAAACAGGAAGAGGGTAAGACTTTTATACTCAGGCTGTTGTAGGGGAGCAGTGAGAGTGAAGACTCCATGGCAGGATCTTCTGTATTACCAGCTTCGCATGGTCATGTCCCCATGGTCATGTTCTCTTGGCACTCTTATACAGCATTCAGTCTTTCTGGCTTCAAAGCCTTAGCAGATGGCACAAATGCTATACTTTCATTAAAGACAGCCTACAATACGTATAACTTTATGTGGTATAATGAACATTTATTTCATAATTCACAAAGGAAAATAGAAACGTTTTTAGGATTTGAACTTCAAGGAGCAAGGAAGGTGTCAGGTCTGTTACACCAGTGGTTCTCAACCTTCTGGCCCTTTAAATACAGTTCCTCATGTTGTAACCCGCAACCATAAAAATATTTTCGTTTCTACTTCATAAGTATAATATTGCTACTGTTATGAATCATAATATAAATATCTGATATGCAGGATAGTCTTAGGTGACCCCTGTGAAAGGGTCGTTCGACCCCCAAAGGCATCGCGACCCCCAGGTTGAGAACCACTGTAACCAATATCTTGACAGAATTCACTAGTTACAGTTTCAAGGGAAGATACTGATACTTTAAGTATAAATGGATAAGTAACTGTGTCTAGTTGGGAGAGATTATCCAAACCCATGTTTTCTGGGTCTGTTCTGTTCATTGTTGCTTAGTAGTTCGTTGTTGCTTTATTAAGGAGGGGAAAGGAATGAAAATAGATTACAGCTGACTCTTTAAAAACTTGGATTTGAATTGTGTGGGCCCACTTATACACAAATCTTTTTCAATAAATATGTTTCCCTGGATTTCATATGTGTGGATTCAACCAGTGGATCCACGGTTTTGACTATATGCATTTATTGATCTGTGCTATTTAATATACAGAACTTGAGCATCCAGGGATTTTGGTATCCATTGGGTTTTCTGGAACCAATCTCCCACGGATGCCGTGGGACAACTGTAAAATTTTGGGGTAGTCAAAGATTATATACAGATTTTCAACTGCACGGGAGTTCTGCTACCCTAACCCTAGCATTGTTCAAGGGTCAACTGTACTTAAATCTGTTTTGCAGTGTGGAAACGACTTTGGTGAACTTTAAGTTGATTGTTAAAATGAGGTTTAAAAATGTGAATTCATGTAGTATCAGATTCCCTGCTGTATAAAACTAGAATGGACTTTTCAGTTTCTTGTGTATTTTAATACGAGATTTTACATGTTGATGCCTCCATCAGCAATCAGTAGATGAATGCATTTATGCCTGTGCTCAGTAAATGGTTTGAGTGTTAGTAGGAGTGGAGACTTGTCATGCCTAAAGTTGATATGATTGTTTTTCCCCCAGAATCACCTTCCTCCCAAATTTCTGTTTTTGGAAAACTGTACTTTTGGTTGATCAAATTAGAGGTCTGACATCTTTGATTCGGCCATTTCATCCATCCTTTATCATTGAGTCCTATCTCCTCTACATTTGAAATGTTTCAAATGTCCACAGTTCTTCCCATTCCTAGTCCAGTATCACATCGTGTTTTACTTGAATACTAACTACTTGAAATTTCTCAAACTGTCAGGAAGAATCTTTAGCCCTGTTCTGCTTACTAACTTACTTACATACTTAGCCTCACAATGCTTCCTAACTTGTTTCTATTTGGAGCCAATTTTGTGCTCATTCTTAGCCATAATGTTTATGCTGTCTGTTCAACTTACCCCAAACTTGTTATTTTTTCAAAATCAAGCTCCCTCTTCCAAGAGGTCTTTCATAGATATTTTCATTCACTTTGATAATCCTACTCCTAAAATATTTTTTTCCTACCACTTATTTTGAAAAATAATAATTGCTGTCCTGGATAGTTGTAACAAAGTATAGGTATCATGCTTTACAGGATTTTGGCATTAAGTGTAGCACCCAAAGATAATATAAACACTCAGTAAGTATGTTATTTGAATGATTTTTGTTTATTGAGACTTCTCACCCACAATAATTTTTAATTAAGCATATTCCTGTAACAACTTATTAGTTAATTAGATAAACCTTTATATTTACAACAGATATATCAAATTAGGGGGGAAATGGACATGATTATAAAATAGAATTTTTTATAAGCCAATTATAGTATTCAGCTATTTATAATATTACTTTTTTTATTGTATCACAAATATACAGGATATTAATTACTAATCGATGAGACTTCTGAAAGTCCAGTGTATTACACAGACATAATTAAGTACTATGATTTAATATATGAAACTAATATATGTTAGTATATTTTAGTGTGATTTCAAAAATTGAAGTATAGAATTTCACCGTTGAGCAAGTCAGAAATGTATTTTGTGAGTAGGCTCCAAACCAAATCATTATGAACCTCATAGATGTTAGTGAGCTTGGAGTGTTGGATTTTGAAATATTTTAAAGATTTTATTTTTCTGTGATACATATTTTTATATATAAAGCTAAAAGTTTTGTAGTTATATATGCCTAAACCGGTTTGGCTCAGTGGATAGAGCATCGGCCTGTGGACTGAAAGTTCCCAGGTTCAATTCCGGTCAAGGGCATATACCTGGTTTGCGGGCACATCCCCAGTAGGAGATGTGCAGGAGGCAGCTGATCGATGTTTCTCTCTCGTCGATGTTTCTGACTCTCTATCTCTCTCCCTTCCTCTCTGTAAAAAATCAATAAAATATATTTTTTTAAAAAAGGTTTGTAGTTATATAAATATTTGGGTTTTACTATAGTCTTTATTTGTATTGAATGGTTTGGGCTTTTAATTTTTATTGACACAAATTATAATCCACAAATGGGGTAGTATCAGAGTATAAGAATCATTCACCGTCAGTTGGGCTACTGGAAGTAGAGCTGGGAAATTCAAAGGAAGAAATATGAATAGTGGCTGCCAGGTGACTCAACCAAAGCACAGGCTTTTACTTCATGTAACAAATCACTCCTTCCAGGATAAAATTAAAGCTGAAACCTTGGTTTGTTACTTGTTCCTTAGCACCATCAAACATAGCTGAATTCAGTCTTATCTGTAGTACGTGGGAAAACTGACTCAAAAAACAGATGGTTTAGGTAGTTTATTTTTTTCTATTTCATGTTAGAATGTCTTGCCTGAAATGTAGGTATTTTTAGCATTAATTCTTCTCAGCATCCTAGATTCTTAGCAAATAATTCTTTATTATTATTTGGCTCTTTATTCATTTAGAAAGAGACTTTCCTGAAATTAGTCACATTTAGATTATATATTGCTAGAAATATTGTTTGTGCGCTTTATGTATTATGCTTAAACGTGTAATTAAAGGCAGTACTTTTGTTTCAATAGCTTACAGCAATAAGACAACTTCTAAAAGTTAATATATATTTATATATATACACACATACATGATACAAACGTAGACTGCCTTCAGTTTCTTCAGTATATTGGTGGGGAGAATAAGTACACAGAAGGAATTATCAAAGAAGTCGTTTAGAATATAAGGAAATAAACGGAAGATGGGGAATGATAAACAATGAAGAAAGTAAGAGGAAATTTAGAGGAAGAAATGGAAGAAAGAAAAGAGGGAAGGATTAAAGCAGCCTTTCCAGAACTCTCCATGTATTTCCATGAACAGTTCTTCATATAAGTGTAATTTATCTGTTGCATTTTTATTTTTGCTTTACCCCTAAAAGGGAAAAAAAGAAGCAAGACAAGGTGAGAAAGGAGTCCCAAACAGTATCTGGGATTTGGAATCACAGGAAAGGGAAGAGAGTACAGTCTTCAGCGTTTCAGACCTCAGATCATTCTTATGGCTACCACACTGGGGCAGCTATCTTTGGTTAATCTGAGACCTGCTCCTAAGGTCTGTTGTCCATTGTTCAAGTACATGGCTTTGGTTGTTATTTAATATTTATTTATGGCACCTGTTTCTACTTACTTTGACATTTGGACACTCACTGTTAGCAACCGCTTAACCTTTTGAATTATTGCTTTGTGGCTTATAAAAAGAGACCAGGCAAGAGTGAAGGTGAACTGGTACAATGTAGTTACCATACTGGAAAAACAACTCAAAATAAATGCCTGTAGCTGAGGCCAAGAGGCAGTCAGGTTTTGGCTCTATCAACTTATATTTGAAAGACATGTAATTTTAAAAATTCTCCATCCTGTCTTTTGTCTAGATTACCACATCTACTCCAGAGAAAGTTTGATAGAAAGTCCTATGTTCCACTTAAAAAGATTTGCAGAACATATTTGTAAATTATTCTTTAGTACATGAATTTCTCAAGTTAATGATTGCATTAAATTAATATTCTTACTTTGCAGGAAGTTGGTGAGCCATCTAAAGAAGAAAAGGCTGTAGCCAAATACCTTCGATTCAACTGTCCAACAAAGTCTACCAATATGATGGGCCATCGGGTTGACTATTTTATTGGTAGGATTATATATGTTAGTGTATATACTTTATGAAGATACCTACATTTGGGATATGTAGACGTTTTAAAAGTGTTTTCCAAGTGTGGTTAGGGGAGCTGGGTGATGACAATTGATTGTCCTTTTCTTTCCTTTTATGATTGAAACTATCAGTAATAAGAAGATAAAAGGAAGTACTTTGTAATAACATTTCTTGGAAATTTTTTAAAAGGAATTTGTTTTCAGTATTAATACTACCTTTTGTTCAGATAGTACATGTACTTAAAGATAATCCGTTTGTAAAACTCTGGAGTAGAATTCAGTGTGAAGCAAATCCTGTTGGAACCACCTTAGGAGCTTTGGATCTTCACATAATCCAACACCCTTATTGTAAGCTAGTGTTACCTATAACATAGTCCCATAGCTTATAAACAGTAGTTGAGTTTGCCTCTGATCCATTAAGATTGAATTGCCATTATAGAAAAGAAATTTACTTGCCTTTCTTATATAATTATAATGATTAATTTTTATATTCATTAAGAGTTTAGAAAAATTGATGTGCTATTCACTTCAGAACTAATATATTTAGCTGCTTCTAGCAGTAGCTTGTTCAGAACTTATTCCTCAGTGGGTTACAGTTAAAAGCATAATGACAGAATTTGTTACTGGAGGAGAGGAAGATTTTTTATTTCTTTAGCCTTCATTTAATTGTAATTATTCGATGACTGATATATTTATTTTGAATTCTTTGTTTAGAATATTTTCCCATTAATTTATCTTGCCTTAGTTAATGTTTTAAAATATAATTTATTTCCCAGCATTACTTTAAAAAGATGCTTACTGATATGCTTCACAAATGGAGGTTTTGAGGAACTATTTATCATGATCATGTCAGACTTAAATTTTCTATTGAATTTGGTTTTATTTTCTGATGCCATTATGTTGAAATTTGCCTTAGAAAATATTATTTAGGTAGACATAAATTTCTATGTATACTAAATGTAAAATAATAAATTTCTTCTTTAGCTTCAAAAGCAGTGGATTGCCTTTTGGATTCAAAGTGGGCAAAGGCCAAGAAAGGAGAGGAAGCTTTATTTACAACAAGGGAGTCTGTGGTTGACTACTGCAACAGGTAGTGTTTATTTCTTAGTGAAGGATAACTCAATAGTAACTTAGTAATAATCTCCATAGTTCTGAAGCTTCTTACCCATTTTCATCATTAAATGTAGTGATATTAAAACATAGCCCAAACATAGCTTTTACATGCAAACTGGATTTCTTCAGTACCTCTGGAAGTACATTTATTTGGTTATACTATCATATTTTTACGATTTTTATTTGTGTTCTATTAACATTTGTACATTTGCCAGGCTGACTAAACCAAAGAGGTCAGCAATAAAAATCATACAACAGTGCCTACAGTGAACAAAAAAGTCTTTCTTTTCTAGAGCAAATGGTTGGGGAGTCTTCTAAAATTTTGGCATGGATTCCTAATAGACCTGTTGTTCCTGGGGATTTTGTTTGCTTGCTTGTTCTTTCAGTGCCTACACACTGACCTATTAGCCAGTACCCTTCCATATTTTGTTTAGTGATTGCTGATTTACTCCTTATAAAATCAAGGCAGCTGTAACATCTATTTTCTTGACTCCAAAATGAAGAATAGACAGTTCAGTAATCTGCACTAATAAAAGAGAAAGATGCAAATTGACCATCCCTGCGCACCCTCCGCCAGCCAATCAGGAGTGAGTATGCAAATTAACCCAACAAAGATGGTGGGTTAATTTGCATGCACAGGTGCTGAGTGGCTGGGGGCAGGGCAGGACAACAATGCAGGCGTTCCTCACTGCTCCAGCCGCTCCAGGCCTCTGGGCAGCGTGGGAAGGCGGAAAGGCAGCTCTGGCCAGCCGGAGCAAAGGCGGTGCTGGCAGCCAGGGGAAGTAAGGCCCATTCTTGCACGAATCTTCGTGCATCGGGCCTCTAGTGTATTCATGTTTTTCATAATTACTCCTTTGGGAAAAACTTTTGATGGTGAGTGGTATATAAAAATCAGTTTCCTCTTGGAAATAAGTACGCTGTTTTGTTTTGTTTTTCATTTTTTCCCTTTGGTTTAAATAGTTCAGCATATTTATTAAGATGTTGATGAACCAAGTTTTTTTTTTTTTATGACACTATAGTTTATAGTAGGTGGGAATTTGACATTTTAGATTGTTGTATATGTATGGTAGGGAGGTACACATAGCAATTCACTAGTATATTGTCTAAAGACATTTAAAGTATCAGCCACATGAGGCTCCTCTGAAAAACCATTACTTCACAGCCTTGTTTTTAAAGCTGTAAAGTTAAGGAATTATTTAAAATTTCTAAAATTGCCCTATCTGGTTTGGCTCAGTGGATAGAGCGTTGGACTGTGGAAGGGTCCCAGGTTCCAATTCCAGTCAAGGACACATCCCCGGGTTGTGGGCTCGATCCCAGTAGGAGGTGTGAAGGAGGCAGCCAATCAGTGATTCTCTCTCATCATTGATGTTTCTATTTCTCCCTCTCTCTTCCTCTCTGAAATCAATAAAAACATTTAAAAAAATTTTTTTCTTAAAATTTGTAGTTGTTAAAAACTAGAGTCACTAATGGACCTTTCAGAAGCAATACAATTTTCATTGTTGGAGCAGGGATGAGCTAACAGTGGTATAGTTGGTATTTTTCTTTACAGCCACTTGTATGTTTAGCACTCCAAAGTACAAATTTCCCTGCCTTGCCTCAAAATAGATTTTTTTATATGTGATATAAAAACTAAGCAATGTAATAAACACAAAAACAGAGAATGCTATGTAAATTATCCAAAGTCACACAGCTATTAAAGTATCAGCCCGAATTCTAAATGCAACAGTCTTACTCCATAGCCTGTGCTATATATATATTTCAGAGACGAAGAGTGAAGGAGAGAGATAGAAACATCAATGATGAGAGAGAATCATTGATCGGTTGCCCCCTCACGCCCCTGCCATTGAAGATCGAGCCTGCAATCCTGGCATGTGTCCTGACCTGGAATTGAACTGTGACCTCCTGGTTCATAGGTCAACGTTCAACCACTGAACCACACCAGTCTGGCCACAGTCCATGCTCTTAACCACTGCATGCTATACTGTCTCCTCCAACAAAATGATGATGCATTTAATGAAGTAAAAATAAAGATGAAGGAATTCACCTGTCAGTTCAGGTATCCTCTGCTTTCAAAAGCTCACAAAAGACCTACATTATTTTTTAAATATATTTTTATTGATTTCGGAGAGGAAGGGAGAGGGAGGGAGAGATAGAAACATCCATGATGAGAGAGAATCATTGATTGGCTGCCTCCTTCACACCCCCTACTGGGGATCGATCCCACAACACGGGCATGTACCCTGGACCGGAATTGAACCTGGGACCCTTCAGTCCAAAGGCCGATGCTCTATCCACTGAGCCAAACCAGCTAGGGCAAGACCTACATTATTACAGTAACAGCTTTATTTGTAAAAGCAAAAATCCTCTTCAGATTTCTTTAGGTTAACAAAAATAGGTACTAAAGTGAAGTGACATAAAGCAAATTTTTGAAAACCAAGAGATACCCTTATTTTCCTCCCTTTCAGCTTACAAAAGGTTTCCTAGGAACTCTCTTACTTTCAAATAGCAGGGAAAATAGAACTATTTGAATATTAAATCTATAAGCCCAAATTTCTGAGGAGAGCAGCCAGCATTAAGCCACATCTGTTAGCTTTTTAGAAGTATTGATACCTTGTTATATGAAAAGCCCAAAAGACCTGAGTACAGAAAATGCCCTAGAGCTGTGGTTGGCAAACCGTGGCTCACGAGCCAAATGCGGCTCTTTGGCCCCTTGACTGTGGCTCTTCCACAAATTACCACATGCGGGCGCACACATACAGTGCGATTGAAACTTCTTGGCCCATGCGCAGACATCAGTATTTTGTGGAAGAGCCAGTATTTTGTGGAAGAGCCACCACAGTCAAGGGGCCAAAGAGCCACATGTGGCTCGCAAGCCACAGTTTGCCGACCATTGCCCTAGAGATACACTTATTTTTCATTGTGTATGTTATTCCCATTCATGTCAGGTTGTTTTTCCTTTCTGCACTAAAATGGGGACACATAACTACTTAAATTCTTCAAAGCCACTTCTAATACAACCATGGAGGCCTCATGATGGCCAAGCCCTCATGGATTCCTGCTTGGCTATAGACAAAAGTACAAAAGGACACTTTTCCAGTCTCATTTTCTGAAGCTGCTAAGTGGGCTTAAGGGAGTCTGAAGACAAGCAGAACCAGAAAGTGTAGGATAATACACAAAACAAACTTATCTAAGATGTCCTAGTGCAGTGGTCCTTTGTGTCCTATTTCAAGCACGAACTCTTCAGCCTTTAATCTAGCACCATCCTAACTCTCCCAAATGACTGCATCACCAGCGCTCAGTCCAATAATCTCCTTCCAACTCCTGCTCATATGCCACACTCATTCTCTCTTCTAGTCTTTATTTAATCATAACCTGCCACTTTTCCCAAATGGTTCTCCCTCTCTCCTGTCTGCTTTTCAATATATATATCTCTCAAGTTCCATCTCCACCATGTGATACTCCTCAGGTCCTCCAACTCACATTAATCTTTGTATCTAAAGTTCTACAGTATTTATAAAGGTGCTATCATATAGTTTAGCCCTTAACTACTTTAGAATTGTAGCACGTGTTAGTTTTTTTTTACTTCTTGGCAGCTAAATCTGAAGGCAATTGTAGGACTGTTTTATACTTTATTGTTACTTGATAGCACAATGTGGGCATTTAATGAAACCTCACCATTGTCACATAAGTGAAAGTCCTGAACACATATCTGGCATCTATAAATGTTTGTTAAACCTAAAAAAAAAATTAAGAGGTGAGGAAAGCAATTTAATAACTTGCTGCCTTTAATCAATTTATTATTCAACAAATATCTATTACATGCCAGGCCCCGGAAATACAAAGATGACTGTGACTTGGTTCCTGCCTCCAAAGCACCTAATCTAGTCTGTTAAAGAAGATTCATGACTGCTACAGTGCAGTGTGTTCCGTAAGGAAGACAGAGATGGGGAAACTTCAAGAATGGCTTCACAGGAAAAATGTGTTTTTTCAAATTTTGAAACATAGATAGCTGATTACCCAGCAAACGATAGGAGAAAGGACATTTGATCCTGGCAAAGGGCACAGAACAGGGAAGTATGGGGAAGTAAGATAGGGAAATATGAATAGTTATGTGAAAGTGTCAGAGAACTTTGTGTAAGTGATTTGTGCTATATGATGTACTAAAGCTTAATTAATGGAGGCCCTGGTATTATTACAGCAGTAAATGTCATCTCACTTTTGAGGCATACAGTGAGTTGAAGTAGAAGCTCTCTGGAAACCTATCAAGGAATAAGTCAATGATTCTACTTATTACTAGTATTACTTATTACAGGATGGAATGATGTTAAAATTAGTGATTCGGGAGACCAAATGTGTTTGTGTATGTGTATTCCATACCTATTAAAGAAATTCAAGATTTTGTTATGGCAGTAATGGCTAACATATATGTCAGGCACCATGCTTCTCATTTAGTCCTAGAAACCCCTATGAAATAGCTACCACATTTTTAAAAAACATTTTTATATGTGTTTTTTTTTTATTGATTTTAGAGAGAGGAAAGGAGAGGGAGAAATAGAAACATCAGTGATGAGAGAGAATCGTTGCTCGATCGGCTGTCCCTACATGCCCCCTACTGGGAATTGAGTCTGCAACCCAGGCATGTGCCCTGACCAGGAATCAAATGTGACCTCCTGGTTGATGGGTTGATGCTCAACCACTGAGCCACACCAGCAGGGCTGAATATGAATTTTTAAACAATTTGGTTTACAGTCTATTTTCCTTTTATGGGGTGGAGCAACTGTGCAGGAGTGGTGACAGAGCTGATTTTCCTACTGGCTCTGTGCACTTCTGTGTCTACTCACTAAGGGAAAGATTTTTTTCTCTTAAAATTCTGTTTGATTTTTTAAATTATTTATTACTTTATTAAGAACAAATATTTCCACTTAAAATGATATAGAAGAAAATCCAAATTAGTTATATAAAACACATTACCATTTGAGAATGTGTACTCAAGTATCTGTGTGTATATATATATGTACTCTTCATATATGGAAATCCATAATATGAACTGTAATATGAAATGCTGGTTTGTAACTAATATACAATGAATAGGATGTGTTTTTGTTTTCATGTTAAGTGGTAATTAATGTTCCTGATAGAAAATCTGGAAATCACATAAGTACAGAAGTAAATAAAATTAGAATATTTTCATTATAAATTTTTATAAGAAATTCTGAAGTAGAGTAAAATTTTGAAATCTCCCTTAATATTCAAATACCTACCACTACTCTTAAATCTCACTTTCTACCCATAAGTAGTTAATTATTAAGGGACTCATTTCAATTTTTTGTTGGTTTACGTACATATGTATATGTGTAGCGGATATTAACGGTTGAGTTTTTAGGGGTATTTCACACAGTTGCACGATTACTTCCTATATAGATCTTTTGAACAAGTGGAAGACCAGGTGAGGATACCTAAAAGTTAGCTTTGTGAAGATGTCCATGGGGTGTACTAATGGGGCAGCAGAAAGAAGCCCAGCCAGGCACATAAAAACCAGTGCTTGGAGGGCAGAGCATAATACCAGAAATAAGTGATCATTTGGCAGGAGAGGGGCATCCAGTTAACAGGTGGTATGACATGCTTAGCAGGCCCCTGAAGGTGGGTAATGACCATTAACAGGCACAGGTGGTGGCAGTGAGTTGTGTTTTGGTGATTGTACTTGATCAAGCAGAAATGAAGGCACAAATCAGAAACTCTGAAACTGGAACATAAGATTTGAAAAGATGGCTTTGAGGTGACAAATGTCAGGATTTTTCAGTGGGATTATAAGGTTAGAAATTTGAGACAACATTAAATAAAACAGAGTCATGGTTACTCTTAATGAACGTAGAGAAAATTTCATAAGGATAATTCCAAATCTATACAATCTCATATCTAAATTATGTAGTTTAAAAATGAAAATTAGCTTTTATATACTCAGATTGGCTCTGTAGTATTTTTTTATGTTATTAGAGGTGGGGTTGATTTTTATTTTCCATGGCTTACTAATTATAATTTCTCTGTGAGTTGCCAATGTATGTCTTCCCCTGCTCATTTTATTCAGGTCTTGATATTTTTGCTTTTCAGTCTGTATCTTATAATTTTCATACCTTTTTTCTAAAGGCTTTTAAAGAAACAGTTTTTTCACCGAGCACTAAAAGTAATGAAAATGAAGTATGATAAAGACATTAAAAAGGAAAAAGAAAAAGGAAAAGCTGAAAGTGGAAAAGAAGAAGATAAAAAGAGCAAGAAAGAAAATCTAAAGGATGAAAAGACCAAAAAGGAAAAAGAGAAAAAAAAAGATGGTGAAAAGGAAGAATCCAAAAAGGTGATTTCAATTAAGATTAAGTAAAAATCAAAAGTCATTATGTGCACAGGATTACTGGCATATGAGCAATCTTGAAATGCTATGTAACAACCATCCTATTATAATAAAAGGGTAATATGCAAATTGACTCTAACAGCAGAACGACTGGGAATGACTGGTCACTATGACACATACTGACCACCAGGGGACAGACGCTCAATACAGGAGCTGCCCCCTGTGGTGGTCAGCACACTCCCATAGGGGGAGCTCTGCTCAGCCACAAGCCAGGCTGACGGCTGCCAGTACAGCAGTAGTGCTGGAATCCTCTCCCGCCTCCTCAGCAGCACTAGGGATGTCTGACTGCAGCTTAGGCCTCCTCCCCACTGGCGAGTGGACATCCCCCAAGGGCTCCCGGGCTGCCAGAGGGATGTCTGACGGCCATCTTAGGCCCGATTCCCTGGGGAGCGGGCCTAAGCCAGCAGGTGGTCATCCCCTGAGGGGTCCCAGACTGCAAGAGGGCACAGGCCAGGCTGAGGGGACCCCCTCCCCCCCCCGAGTGCACAAATTTTTGTGCACCGGGCCTCTAGTATATATATATAAAAGCCTAAGCGACCGTTAGACCGAACAATCAGTCGACCAGTCACTATGATGTGCACTGACCACCAGGGGGCAGATGCTCAATGCAGGAGCTGCCCCCTGGTAGTCAGTGCACTCCCATAGCCAACCTCCCACAGCCCCTCCCCCCAGTCAGCCTCCCTCCCCACCATGATGGCCCTGATCAGAGGGCCAGCCAGCCAATGTCCCACAGTCCCTCCCCCCAGCCGGCCAGCCCCTCAACCAGCTGACCAACCTCCTGGGGTCCCTTCCCCTGGCTGGCCCCTTATAGGCCTTGATTGCCAGCCAGGCCAAGGGACCTCTACCTGTGCACAAATTCGTGCACTGGGCATCTAGTTTAAGATAAGCATGTTCGGGTTTTTATAAATACCATGGTTGAGAATTTTTATCTCTGTATCTCAAAGATTAAAATTTTGTTACTATATGAATGTCATTGTGCTTTTTGCTTGTTTACTTGTTTGTAAGTGCTTTTTCTTCTATTTAACTTGTGTTTTAATAGGAGGAAGCTCCAGGAACTCCCAAAAAGAAGGAAACTAAGAAAAAATTCAAGCTTGAGCCACATGATGATCAAGTTTTTCTGGATGGAAATGAGGTGAGAGTATCTAGCTGATAGGTAGAAATCCTGTTTTCCATAGGAATATTTAGAATTATCTTGAATGCTTTCGCTAAGAAAACAATTTAGATAAATCTAACGAGGTAGATATAAAATTTACTCTTTTTAAAAATAAATTATTTCTCTGGCTCTGGCCAGTGTGGCTCAGTGTGTTGGAGCATCATCCCGTATACTAAAGGCTGGCGGGTTTAATCACCAGTCAGGGCACGTACAGGATGCAACCTATGGATGTTTTTCTCTCTCTCCCTCTTTCTTTCCATCCCCCGCTTCTCTAAAATCAATAAAAAACATATTTTGAAAATCAATAATTTATCTGAAGACATGAAATTTATGAAAAATCAGTCAGAATTAGGTTCAGCTGTGTATGAGTGATAGGAAACTTGAAATAACAGTTAAAACAAAATAAATGCTTATTTCTCTGTCATCAAGGAAATCTGAAGGATAAGCACTACAGATAATGGCAGCTCCATGGTAGGTCTGAACTCTCCCTTCTATGTGAAGAATAATTCCCTCATGGTCCCAGATGATTGCCAGCCTTGTATCTGCATCCAAAGGAGGGAAGAAGAAAGAGGGACCTGCCTCCTCTTTAAGGACACCTCCCAGGAAACTGGCAGTTTCCTTTCTTGGATTCCATTATCCAGAACCTATTCACATGGTCATGCCTACCTGCAGTAAAATCTTAGAAATATGCTTTTTGTACTGGGCAGTTGTTTGCCCAGCCAAAAATGCAGGATTTCCATTGCTATCAAAGGAAAAAGAGCAAAATGGTTAATTTAGTCATTAAACCATTACGGAAGTATTAGTTATATACTGGCCATTAAATTGTTGTGATTTTCAAGATCTATTCTTCCTATACCTAATACAAAAATAGTATATGTAAAGTAGAATTAGTGATTTCTGGGAGGTATGAGTTTGAAATTCTAGGAAAGCTTTTCAGAAAATATGTGTCCTAGGCTCATTTTGGACACAATTGCATGAGAATCTCGTGTGTGTATGTGTGTGTGTCTTCTTCTGCAACATGTCCCAGGGTGATTCTGATGTGAACCCATGCTTAAGAGCCACATAATTGGAGACTACACATCAACATTGGCCAAAATATTATGCCACAACATTTTTATAGATGCTGGGAATAGCATGATACATAGTCTCTTCTTAGATGCTCTTATTGTCTAGCAAACGTACAAACTTTAAACATGGTACTATGTTACAATGTGTTAAGTGTAATGATGTGAGAATACAGATTAGAGATTGTTAATTTAATCAAGAAGATAAGGAGTTCTGAAGATCCTAAACACTTGAGCTGAGCCTTGAAGGATGATTGGCACATTACCAGGTGCACCAGGAAGGTGTTATAGACCTGTTAGGCAAATGAAGCAGTTTGAGCAAAACCATGATGCTTGCATTCCTGAAAAGGCTAGATTTTATTCTGTAGAAAGATGTAGCAAAGAAGCAGGCTTTCAAATGTACAGAGGTGGGAAATGTCTTTAAAAATTTGGTTTTTTAGAATGCTAACTGGCAGAAGTGATGTCTGTGGATCTGATTTCCAGGGGAAATATGCAGAGTTAAAGAAAAGAAGAATGGAACCTCCAGTGTTAAAAATAGAAACAAATCAAAAGACAATACCAAAGAGTTGTCAAAGTAGAACCAGGAAATGGAAGGAGTATTGTTATTTATAGAAATTAAGAGATAAATCTAGGAGTTTTGTGGATGATGATTATGCAGCGTTTGATTGTTCTGAATGAAGTCAGTTTCTATTCTATAAAGTAAGTTAAGCTTTAAAGCAGTGGTTTCCAGTGTATAGGCTACAGACCTTCCCTGGGGAAGTAGGCAATGAAATTATTGCAGGAGGTCATAGCATCTTTATGTTCGATAAGCGTGACCTTTTAATAATGGTTTTTCGTATCATCCATGGGAAAGAAAAGGGTGGGGTTGAGAGCTGCCGGATCTGTAATAGAGCCTGGCTGGAAACTGTGCTCTTAACCCAGACTGTTCTGCTCATGCCAGTGTACATAATTATATTAAAGACAAAAAGGTAAACTTTTGGTCTTCAGGTTGAATAAGTAATAGTTTACACACATGAACAAATTGTTAAAAGCATGTAAATAGGTAGAAATTTACTTAAGTGCATTACAGAATTTATGGTTTTTTTAAACAGTTTTCTAACTGGAAACAAAATAAACCAAAATAATACTGAAGGAAAGGTATTTGAAATTTGTTTACCTTAAAAAGCAGTTCTCAAGTGTCAAGAGGTTGGAAATTACTCTTGTAGAAGATCTAAAACAGAATTGTGCTTACCTTCTAATGTGACCTTAAAACTTACAGCACTGTGGTTTCTTGATTCCTCTAGGTATTTGTGTGGATCTATGACCCAGTTCACTTTAAAACCTTTGTCATGGGATTAATTCTTGGTAAGTACAATCTCTAAAATTTAGAAAGGAAAATAAAAATGCGGATGCCATAAAGAAAAATATTTAATATAAAATAGTTATGTTTTTAAAATATACGTTAAAGTCAGAAGATAAAAGATAAAATGACGAGAGTATTTGCAACACATTAAAGCAAAGATATTTAAGAGATTAACAACCTGGTAGAAAAATGGTAAAGATAGCTCACAGATAAAGAAATACAGTGACCAATAATCATGAATGATACTTAATCACACTCATAATAAATACAAAGTAAAGCAACAGTGATTAAGAGAATTACAGAGTTTGATAATATCTATTCTTAATGAAGTTAGTCTAACACTTGAGAAACACTAACACTCTCCAACAGTTGATGGTATGTCCCTTGTTTACGTTTTTATGGCGGGCAGTTTGGCAATGCCTTTTCAGATTTTAAATGTATATACACTGACCCAGCTATTCTACTTCTCAAAATTTATCCCATGGCTGTTCTTTTTTTTTTCTTTTCTATCCTCATCCGAGGATGTATTTTTATTAATTTTTTTTAGGGGGAGAGACAGAGAGCAAGAGAAACATGGATGTGAAAGAGAGAGACATCGATCAGTTGTCTCCCATATGCATTCTGACCAGGGATCAAACCCATAACCTTTTGGTGTATGGGACAGTGCTCCAAGCAGCTAAGCCACTCAGCCAGGGGCCATGGCTGTTCTTAATACAGTTGCACAAAGAATTTATTCAGAAGTGTGCATTGACAGTTATCTATTCTAATCCAAATCCCTCAGATTATATTTAGGAGGGTAATTAGGCAATTGTGTCTCAAATTTTAAATATCTATATCTTTTGACCTAACAGTTACATCTCAGCTAATTTATCTTGTGCTGTAATCAGTTGTACAAATGTACATGTAGTTTGGTATTTGTTGAACTGTTGTGTATAATAGGGTAAAACTGGTAATAATTCTTATTCTTCAGTAGAAAATTACTCTGAAGGAAAATGGTGAAACTGCCCACTAGAATACAATGCAGCTTTTAAAGAATTAGGTAGAATGTACTGATAGATATCTAGAACTGATTAAATGGAAAAGAAATTGCAAAAGAGTAAGGCTAGTATAAGCTTATTTATGTAGAAAAAAATTCTATGTACCAAATTTAATTTTATATAGGCAGTCTCTACTAATTAACTTCTGGGGAATGAACCAAGAATTTGAAGAAGACCTCCCTTTATACCTTTTGCTTTGTTTTTATTTGTGTGGATTTTTAACTATGGGTATGTGTTATTCAGGTTGAGGGGCATAGGTGGGCAGGGAGAGAATGATTTAACAAGTGAAAAAAAAGGAGCAGTTAAACAAGCTTGATCAATAAGGTATCATAGGACCCCATTCAAAAAGTTGAAACTCAGATAATTCCAGTACAAATATCTGATAGCTATTGATTACCGACTAAGTACTAGTAATGTTGCTAATTATTTTATATGCATTATTTCATTTCATCCTTACAGCAACCTTTAAAAAATAGGAACAGACATGTATTAAATATATATATAAAGTAATTTAGCCTCAACGGGGTTAAATAACTTGCCCAGGGTTACTTAGCTTATAAATGATATAGCTAGAATTTGAATTCTGAGCTCTTTTGCTCTAAAGACCTAATAACCAGACTTCTAATTTCTTACAATTATTCAGTGTGGTCCCACTGTACTTAAAAAAAACTAAAGTTACTTGTATACAGTTTTCCTACCTATCAAAAACCTCTGTATCACACCTGAATGCACCTAAATATAAATAGTGGTGATAGTTATGATTTGTATGTTATTTTTTATACTTGCCTGTAATTTTTACAATAAGCATATATGTTACCATGAAAAAAATCCAATAAATATTGTTTAACTTAAAATCTTAGTCTGTAAAGATTTTCTCACGTAGGGAGGACAGGTCTGATACAGTCTTTCACTTCGGGAAAGAAGTAGGAATTTTTCTTAGCTTACCACAGGGTGACCTTTTCAGTTTGTCAGAGTTCCACCCCAGAATCAGAATCTCGAGAGAGGATCTGTTGAATCTTTTTTGTTGTTGTTAGTTTTATTGTTAGGTTGTTGTTTCTTTAAGCTCCCCTGTTCAGTAGACAGATATCTTATAGTCAAAAAATAAAGTAGACATTGCTGGAGAACAGTAGCAATTGATCATTTAAGGAGCTAATAACAACTTCACATTTTTTGACAGCACTTTTTTCTAACTATATGAAATTTATACTAGAAAACTCTTAACCTAATTTAGGAACAGCAGTTAAAATGTTAAACAGAATTATGGGAAATGGTTGATAATTGACCATATTTTACCTACAAAAATGGCAATTTTTAATATATCTTATAATTAAAGGCTAATGTGCAAATTGACCAAATGGCAGAACGACCGGATGCTATGATGCGCACTGACCACCAGAGGGGCAGACGCTCAACGCAGGAGCTGCCCTCTGATGGTTAGTGCACTCCCACAGGGGGAGCGCCGCTCAGCCAGAATCCGGGCTCACAGCTGGTGAGCGCAGCACCAGTGGCAGGAACCTCTCCCGCCTCTGCAGCAGTGTTACGGATGTCTAACAGTTGGTGGGGAGCGGGCCTAAGCCAGCAGTCAGACATCCCCTGATGGCTCCTGGACTGCAAGAGGGCGCCGTCCTGACTGAGGGACACCCCCCCCCCAACTCGAGTGCATGAATTTCGTGCACAGGGCCTCTATTTTAATATATTTATGTTTCACTTTTCCCCCTAGGAATATATTCACTGTTATATCATCCATGCCATTTAAAATTTTAATCTAAAAGTTATCTATGTAACTTTGTCATTTCTTCTTCCAGTGATTGCAGTGATAGCAGCCACCCTCTTCCCTCTTTGGCCAGCAGAAATGAGAGTGGGTGTTTATTACCTCAGTGTGGGTGCAGGCTGTTTTGTAGCCAGCATTCTTCTCCTTGCTATTGGTAAGTATTGTTAATAGTACAACTGACTTCAATAAGGTAGATATTGAGTATTTAGAACTGTAGCCTGGAGCTTCAGTAATTAACATCACAATTAAAATTGGTAAATAAAAAAGTGTATCGACCTACTTTTTGGGTCATATCCCAAATCTGACTCAGACTTGAAGGAGTAGTATATATGCTTGATTAGATTTGATCTATTCTGAAGAAAAAAAAGATTTAATATGGCTTAATGTGCACATTGATAGGGTTTAAAAATTAGCTACTACAAGGATGTTAATATTTTTATCATGATTGTTCTTTGTTATACATATTTTCAGTAAAACATTTTTATATTTGACTTAAGCAAATGAAACATAGTAAATATTTAAATTCCTTGTATATATTTAATAAATGATTCTAAACAATTGACTTACCATTAGGAAAAATCAATTTGTATCTCTGTGCCAAAATAAATTCTAGATGCATTAAGGAGTTTTAAAATGTTTTTTAAAAGTCAAACAAGAACACATGAGTAATTTTGTTTTACATCTCTGGATGTTTTTCATAGTTAAAAACAAAACGATATAAAAACCCAGTTTAAAAGAGGATATTAAAAATAAGTGATTAATAAATACATGAAAAATGCTCATCACTAGTAATCAAACAATAATAAAATAATGAAGTGGGTTTTGTCTATTTAATTAGGAAGATTTTTTTGAAATGGAAGCACTCAATGCCAAGAAGGGTTTGACTGGAAGGAAATGTACCTAAATATAAATAGTGGTGATAGTTATGAATGATTTTAATGCTATTTTTTTACACTTGTCTGTATTTTTTACAATGAGCATGTTACTTACCATGAAAAAATTCAACAAATATTATTTTACTTAAAATCCTAGTCTTTGAAGATTTTCTGACATTGGGTGGGCACGTCTAATTTAATTTTTCGCTTTGGAAAAGGAATTTTTCTTAGCTTATCCAAAGTTGTCTACTGATTTTTTACTTACATATAATTCCTTGAACCATCTAGAGCACCAGTTCTCAACCTGTGGGTCGCAACCCCTTTGGCAGTCGAACAACCCTTTCACAGGGGTCGCCTAAGACCATCCTGCATATCAGATATTTACATTACGATTCATAACAGTAGCAACATTACAGTTATGAAGAAGCAACGAAAATAATTTTATGGTTGGGTCACAGCATGAGGAATTGTATTTAAAGGGCCAGAAGGTTGAGAACCTCTGATCTAGAGCAAGCATGTCAAACTCAAAGGCTAACACGGGCCAAATAAACAGAGTTTGACATGCTTGAGTTTATGTTAGCATGTGGTACTGATTTCTGATTATTTTTTCCAACTGATAAATCAGCTTTCCACCAAGACATATAGGAGTATTTCTGTATAAAAATTAAAAACAAGACCCACATTATTAACCTAGTACCTATTGTTAGAGGACATAATTTGACCAAGAATACCTGAAGTAAGTGCAAGTTATTCTGAGGTTCTATGATAATAATAGACTCTTACATTTATAAAGCATTACTTCTACAGCCCTACGCAATTTCCTTCTGTATATGCCTTCATCCTAGACATCAAGCTATGTTCTGAGTTGGTGCCTCCATCCGTGGGCCCAGGAGCTCATCTAGTGTTTTCACTCAAGTGGGTTTACAGGCCTCTTTTTTTTTTTATCAGATCTCTGACTGTGTGAAGCCTTTCCACCTGCCTTTCATTTTTTTCCTTCCTGTAGCTTAGTCACCTTGAGAAAATCCCCTGATGCTTTGCATGTAACACAGCACATTTGTAGGCCAAGACATACCGTGAAGCAGGTAAATAGTGGTAGTGTATCAAGAATGAGAAGCCGCCAAAACTGGTTTGGCTCAGTGGATAGAGCATCAGCCTGCAGACCGAAAGGTCCCAGGTTCCGGTGCGGGAGGCAGCTGATCGATGTTTCTCTCTCATTGATGTTTCTAACTCTC